TCGCCGTTCTCTCCCTCCTTGAGACCAAAGAGACGCTGACCAGCCGTGCGGAAAATATCGGGCGCAGGCTTCCCGCGCTTCACGGCCGGGTCGTCACCACATACGATCGTGGAGAAGAAGGAGAAAAGCTTCGGATGGTGCTTAATCTTGGCTTCCACGACGCTCCTGCTGTTGGAAGTGGCCAGCGCGATGGGAATGCCCCGTTCGTGCAGAGCGGTCAGCACCTCGACGCCGCCCGGGAGTTCTTCGACGCGGTCCGACATGTCCCGCATGCTCTTTTCCCATTTCTTGAATAACTCTTCCGGGGTGATAATCTCCTCGCTGAGCCCAGCGGCGGTGATTGCCATGCGCGTCCAGTCGGCTGGAGGACGCCCTAGGGTGGTTTTGTGCATGGTCATAGTGAATTCCTTGCCGAATTCGCGCATTATGGCGTCGATAACGAGGCGGCTCGGCTCCTCTGTGTCCAATAAGGTGCCGTCCATGTCGAAGATGACGCCGTGCACCTTGGGTTTAAAGAACGCAGGGATGGTGTTATTCATGATGATGGGATTGCTACTTCGAATGCAAATTGCAGTGTGGTAATATCGGGTGCGTTTTTGAAGTTCGTCTACATCATCCCTCTTACAAAAGCCAAGTGTGGTGGGTGTATCGGAATGATTATACATGTATTCGTTTTATTGGTGTCGTCCATCAAAATGTCACGTCGCATTTTATTCGATTTCAGATATCCTTTCATCCGAAGATCCCACTTTTTTTTAATTCTCTAAGCAAAACTTTCACTACTCGAGGTCGTCGTCGGTGATCTCCTTCTGGTCGGTATCCTGATCTTCACCATCGTAAATGTGTTCAGCCATCTGCCAGATCTGCAGAATGTTGTCCTCGGCAACCGACGACACCACCCACGGTTCGTTCGGATGCCACGAAAAGTCCACAACATTTGCTGTGTGGCCGGCATGAATGAACAGCAGCTCAGGCGGGCCATCCTTGGCGTCTTCAGCTGCTTGCTCTTCTCCGATCTACAGTTAATAGCGATCATTGCCACAAAGTCAAACATCAACACGCACTCCGAGTATTTGCCGGCATTTCAATGATATACCTTGGTGAGGTCCCAAATGAGTACACGACGATCAGCAGAGCAGGAACCGAGGACGCCATCATGATGCGGCGACCACTGGATCTGATAGATCTCGTCCGTGTGGCCTTCCAGGGAGTGCAGCTTGGTCTTTAGGTTGCGCAGGTCCCACAAGTTAATCTGCTTATCAGATGACCCCGTGGCGACGAGGTACTCGTTCGATGGACTGAACGCGAGGCAGTTGACTTCAGCCGAGTGAGCCAATACGGTCGCCGCTGGCTTGTCGTAGCTCTCAGACCGCATATCCCAGCTTCACCATTCAGATCAAGATAGGCAGTTAGATCGGCATCGGTAATGTTGCAATCCATTCCAGGAACTTACATGAGCAGCTTCTTGTCATCACCGACCGAGCCGATGATCTTCGGGTGATGCCAGTGCCATGCCACATCCTCAATGACGTCGCTGTGGCCAGTGTACTTGTGCAGAGGCTCGACTGTTGTGCCAGCCTTGGTAATATCCCATTCGCAAATGATCGCGTCGTTGGAACCGGAAATGAGGTGGTGCGTTTGGTGCGGGTCCCAACAGAGGCCGTAGCCTTCCTTACCGTGGCCCAGTAGTCGGTGTGTCGGTTCAATACTTTCTCCAGCATCAGTTTTGATCTTCGAAATGTCGAACACGTGCACTTCAGCGCTAGGGGTCTTGGTCGCCACAAAGAGGTTATCGGACGGCATGCAACGCGCTCGGTTCACCTCGCCTTGGTGGCTAAAACTAAGCGAGGTCTTCATCTTGCGCTCAACGGCATTATTGTAGTCACCCAACTCTGATCAGCCATAAGATATCAACAAATACCGTCAACGGAAACGAAACAACGAAATGGAAGCACTCTTTCTTCTCTACCTTGGGTGTCTTCATTCAGCTTGCACGCGTCGTCTAAGGGCAGCCACACTTTCGCCTTCATCACCTTGTTTTGCTCCGCTCCCGACGTATTTGTGCCCAGTAGGAGCTCATACTCGCAGAAATCTGACGTGTTGTTAGTTCTGTCAGGGCATCAGCAACAGATTAAACTCAACTCCCCATGCAAACAATTTCGCATTAGACGCACGGCGCAGAGAGCCACTGGACAGTCAGTGAGGGCCAATCAAGCGAGTGGGTTATCACGAGGTCATATAAGAACGGCGTGTTTTTCTTCCAGGTCCGGTACTCCTCGCTCTCAAGTCTCATATCCGGCTCGACTTCCTCGTCCTCGGCAGCGTCACCCGCATCGCCGGTGAGGTCCTGAACCTCCTCCATAGGAGAAGGGTCCGTGTGCTCAGCAGCGTCAGACATTTCGGCCGCAGAGCTGGGAGAGCGCGACATGGTACTCAAAAATGCTCCAGTAACGGCGTTTCGTTGGCTGATAAAGACTACGATTGGCAATTTTGAGGGGAACTCCAGGATGCAATTGTTTGCCGCTCTAGTATTGCTTTTTTGTCTTTGCAAACGCGGGTGAACAAACTTTTGGGTCTAGTACATTCAAATTAGACTAACCTCATCATTGCA